TTTACATTTTGATTTCTTATGGTAAAAAAAACACCTCCTCAGCTTCTCAGGTGTGAAAATAAATGACATTTAGTGAAGTCACCTTGATGTATACGGCACCGTTGACCCAAAATACTTTCAATTTGAGGATTAAAAATATATTTTTTGGTCATCTCTGGGCGTTTCTGATATTTACTTCATCAGAGTTGCCATCAGAGTGTCTTACGGTTGGACACTAGTGCCGTTCGATGATTCTAGCAGCTGCTGTGATCACAGAATGGGTTCAGGAGTTCTGGTTCGAACGAAAACAGCAGCAGAATTTATTGACGGGTTTTCTTGCAAGCTACTTTTGGGGATTTAAAAATAATAACTGCACGACACAGCAAACAGTATAGAAAAAATGCATCATCAAAAACCGTCAGTTTGCCACTTGCCAAAATTTTGAGAGCGACACAGACAAGAGAACCCAAATTTGGTTGTAAAACCTGGAATTTGGTTGAAAGTGAGAAAGGATGGGGAAGTGAAAGCCACCGCGGCTGATTGCGAAAGGTTTCGCATCGTGTGCCAATCAGGCAAAGGCGCAGTAAAATCCCACTTTAGCGTCTCGCAAGTTCATTCAGAAAATTGTGACACGTCAGAGGAAGTGAAATCAGATAAAGATTTCACTTTTCAGGGGACGAGATCTTACGCAAGCAGAGATTTTCTACCAAACTATCTCCTGCCACAACTAACTAGTCACCGTGGTGACCGTTTAAACACAACAAAAAAAAAGAAGGCAGTTAATGGTTGATGGTGTCAATGTGTACAACTTGTACAGCGGGCTCACCTCAACGCACAGGTTATATGTGTGTGCGCGCATACATCGTTATCACCTGCAACAAACGCCATGGGCCCCTATCTGGACTAAATCTGCTCTTGGTTTACTAAGAAGGGGTGCCAAGGGTTATCTGTCCCACTCTGATATGCACAGATAACGGCCTTGGGCCCGCTGTTTAAACACCTGGGGCCCGGGGTATTAGAGCGCCCTCCGTCCCCCTTTGCCACAAAAGGAGAGGAAATGGAAGAGTGAGTGCTGGCTGCTGCTGCTGCTGCTGCTGCTGCTGCTGCTGAGGGGAGTGTGTGTGAAAAGTAATGAACAAGAGTGTGTGCGCGTGCGGAGGTTAATGCGGGGGTGATTATTTCCACCACACACACACACCAATACTTCCATCAATAATAAAAAATAAGATGGGCAAAAGCAGAGAAGAGAATCAGGAATCCTGTCCTATTCATTCACCCTCCCCACCACCTATCTGCCCCTTCAAAAAAAAAAAAAAAAAAAACCTAGACTGTTTTATGAAAAGACTGAGTTAAAGCATTGATGATTACCGGTAATGTTTAACGGCTATATGCTGGAAAAGCTCTCCTTTAAAATAGGCTCTTTTTTCACTTATGTGATGTACATTACAGCGAGGGTCAATCATTTGCATGAGAATGGACGATTAAGTGAAAGAGATAAACCCAAGGCTAGTTCCCGTGAATTGGATGCTGTGTTTGGAATACCAAGCAGAGGAGATTTTTTTTTTTTTCCTTTTTTTTTTTTTTTTTTTTTTTTTACCCCGCCTCTGCAGAATTAGCCCCCCTGCATCATGCATTTATTTTCTCAATAATTACTCAGGCCCTTCCTGTGTTGATTATTTTCTCAGTCCAAGGGTTACTAAAATATTGCTGTAATCCTGTCCGCCTGAAGCCCCAACAACGCTCACCCCGGGCTTCCTTTAAGAAATAAATCTGGGGCTTGTCAGTGGGGAGGTGATGTGGTGGCCTGCTGGAGGAGAGGCGGCGGGGGGAAAGTTGTTGTGGTGAGATGGGGATTGCTTTGATTCAGTAAACGGAACCTCGGGCGGTTATAAAGACTGACCCTTCACTTAGCTTCATCCAGGTTCTCTCAAAGGCAACTTCAAGACACGGCAGCGAATCATTTGACATTGTTCAGCACCGCACAATACGGAATTACAGATTCTATGAAAACTACATCATTGGAACCATAATACAGATTAAATTTACAAATAATTATTTTTGTCTAAACATATTCTCTAAAAAGTAATTTAAGGAATCTCCTCCTACCACTTAATTGAGTGCATAAACTATTTAGGCTGCAAACATTATTAGATAATATGGTTGGTAATTGGGTCAACTTAATATTTTTGTGTGATTTAAACTCAAATTTCTGCATTAGTTGATTTAAAACTAAATTCAAGTTAAGGTAACTTAATGAAAAGGTTTGGTTTGCTAGACACCAATGTTGGTATCAGCTTAATATTTTGTGTAATATAAACTTAATTTTCTGCATTAGTTCAAATTCAACTCGAGGTAACTTAATGAAATTGGCTTAATAGTTTTCCTCCCCCTACCGTCAGCTTATCTTTACATGTCTGATCGTAGTGGAAAATTAAATTCCACTAACACAACATATTGGTCGTAAATTCATTAGAAGTTGTCTTAACTCAAAAAAGATTGATGCATTCTTTCATTTCTTTGTTTGTTGTCGTCGAGCCCAAACATGATATTTTAGAGAGTTAAATAAAAGCGTCTGGCGCAGCTTCGACTCGATTGAGCAGCTAACTAATAAGAAACAAATTACATTCTGCGAGACGTTCAATATCAGCTTTTCATAGTCTTTGATAATTTCTGCGAGACTGATCGATGCGAAAAGAGCGGCTCAATAACTCCGAGGTAGCGTCTCCTGTGTTTACTCATCAGCATATGTTCCTATATCCCATAAGCGCCTCTTTACACACCACTTGTGGATCCAATATGCAATCTATGCCGTTCTGTGTTTTGCTTTTATGATATAATCCAGAACAAGGAGGAATGAAAGGGAGCAGAGAGTAGATTTATACAGGAAGTGGGTACTTTCTGGTGCATTCATTTCAACATAGAAGCACACAGAGACACCTCACACCGCTGACCTGTGCCACATCTGGAAACAATTACACTCATGTTTGACTTGACCCGCCTGCACCAAGTGAACTCTGCCAACTTTTTTTTTTTGAATGTGTTTGTTGCAGAGGCAGTGGTGACCCTGACACAGCGGCTGTGGGGGGAAATGATGTGTAATTAGTCAGAGGGAACACGACTCCGCTTGTCTGAAATAAAACATCTCGCGTGCACATCAAAAGAATCAACAGCTTGACAGGCGATACACAGAGAGGAGAGCCAGAGAGAGAGAGAGGAAAAAAATAAATAAAACGGAGTTGATATGCTATCAAATGACCCACAGTGGAATTTCTGAGGACACGAGCAGCGTCTGAATTATCAAGCATCTCAGGGCAGCACAGCGGACCTTTCATGTGCGGATGGCAAAGCAGACAGTGGATGATGCAAGGTTTGATTTCTACACTTCAGGAGGCTGTCAGGACAGCGCATACAACATTAAACAGTGTCGTGTCGGTGTATCAACCAGCCTAAATTAACCCATTAGTATGCTATGGGGCGAGGCGGGAAGATCAATGCATGAAACGGTTTGGAAATCTCCTTTGATACAAGATTTCCCAGCTTGAGCGAATTGATGAAATTCCTCTTGAAACACAGGCAACCATTTCACACGCCAGACTTTTTCTCAAGACAGAGACTGGCGTAGCCTGTCCGTTAGCACAGTCTGACTGCATCACGGGCGTCTCGCACACAAGCTATAGTGCATTTTTAAGCTGCTTTGAAAGCTTGCTTAGGATAAACTGATCATAAGCAGCTCCAAATCCACTACTACACTTGTTTTTTTTCTCTTTCAAACATGCATATAGGGTCAGTACATGCAGAAATTCCCCTTTTATTCAATAAATAATGAGCACTCATCATGAAGGCCACAGCAGTCTTTACACTTTTAGAAGTAATTTGCCAGCGCCACAAAACTACAGTAACTGAGTTTACCGCTGTCATTAAGCGGAGTAAAAACACTGCACATTAACGTAGCGTGAGGCCACAAACAAGGACAACTCTCTCATGAGCGAAGGAAATTCTGTAATATTTAATATTTTCTAAAGACAACAGCGAGACAGAATTAGTAAGCGAGGAGCCTGAACTGTCAGCTCTCAGGTCGTGTATGCAAAAAAAAAAAAAAAAAACGCCAGCTCAAGAACGACGGGATGGATGGGTGGCGGGGTTCGAATCCTCAAGTGAACTTTAGTGCATTCCTATTGATTTGAGCAAACAATGCAGGGCGAGGAGGTGGCCTTCAAGGTAAGAAAAGATTCCAGTCCAAAAAAAACACACAGCAAACTGTCAGACAGATTGTGTTGTGCAAAATCCACAAAAGACATGATGCAAGACGGTTGTACGAGGCGCCTGCAGCCTGAGTTATACACAATTACGTGCGCTGTGACATGAAACGCACAGGGAATCACACAAGTGTTGTACGGTGAGTTTCAGTGAAGTTTTCAAGCCTCGAGATTTATTGTTTGCTGACTGAAACTGCACGTCCTAGAACCACCTCCTCGTCTCGGAGCCCGGGTTCAGCGCTCATTTCCTGGGCTGACCGTCTACTCCAATTATCAAGCTAATAAGGGCCCCCCTTGTGCAGTTATGGGAAAAGGGGAGGGGAGTCGGGCCCGGGATGAGGGGGTTCCACTTTGGTAAGTGTGTGTGATAGCTGCCGCCCACATCTTGTAAGGTGTGACTAATGGTCTTGGACAATGTTAAGACAGCACTGCTTCGGCAGTCACCTGGGCAGGCTTGGCAGTTACTGAAGGAGTGAATCTCCGGGCCCGAGCTGTCAGCCGCACTGAGCTGAGGTTTGTGTGATTGTAAAAGGATGCCACTTGTTCATACGTAGCACATGTGTGTGGACGGGTCATAAAAACATAGTGGTGTTTGCTTCATTTTCACCACAAATCAAAAGACTGAATGCAAAGAATCTATAAATAAACTATTAAAACTGTGACTCAGATTAAAAAAAAGAAAAAGAAAAAGAAAAAAGCCAAAAGGATGAAAAGGATCATAAACATGAGCAGCTACAGAAAAAAAAAAAGGAAAACTCGTCTTACCTGTGCTGCTCCACAGCTTCGTTATCTGGTAGCTCTGCACCGCAAACATTGCAACGCATGCTCTGGTTCCTGCCGTCCGGTTTCATGCCCACCGCCAGCTCCCCGAGCTTGCTGAAGAATTCTCTCTGGATGAAGCTCTGAGGCAGGAGTCCCCCATAGGCACTGAAGTCCATAGACATCGCCAGGGCTGGGGACATGGGGAGAGCGGAGGCCATGGACGCCGGCATGGACATCATGGCATCTGATTTATGATTGACAGGTAGGGAGTATAGCGAGGCCAGGTGTTTCTCCGTCATCCCGGCCATCGCCTCCAGCCCCATCTGGCTGACTTCACCTTGAGGGTCTCCCATGCCTTCCTCGCGGACGTAATGCAGCTCGCGGGCACTGGTGATCACGCTGCTCCTGGTCGGTGTGCCGGGGCCGTCTCGGTTCCTGTCCTCCCCGCTTCGCTCTCCGTTGCTGGACGCGCTGGACTCCATGTTCTGGGGGCTCTCGTGGCCGTTGCCGCCCATGTCCACCTGCATCATTTCAGTCTTGATCTCAGTCATCAGGTGGTGGGAGTTGCCGTGGACGAGCTGCTCAGCGCTGAAGCCCTGCTGGAGCAGAGACTGGCCGATGCTCATCAGACTGTCCACGGCAGCTTTGGTGGGACTCAGGGTGGAGACGCCGAAGGAAGTGGAGACGGAGGGACTCTGGTCCACCATGCCGGCCATGGCGGAGACTTGCTGGGACACATAGGGACTGTCCATGGAATGCTTTTTGGAGTTCTTGGCTCCGTTGTGGCCTTTGCGCTCGTCGTCCTCCTCTGTGCTGCCGTCGTTAGCGTTGACCTCTACGTCGTTCTCGTCTGAGGACTGGATGGTTTCTAGGATCTTGAGGCATTGCTCTTCCAAGTACTCGATCTCCAGGATCTCCGCAGCATACAGAAGGTCGTCCAAGTCCTCCACCTTGGCCTGGAGCGTGGCAGTGTAAGCATACTCCAAAATCTGCTGAAAAGTCTTTGGTGAAAGGAAGTCCAGGGTGTAATGCTGGCTGCTGCGGTGGAAGAGGATCTCAAACATTTTGCTGGTGCAGGCGAGCACAGTCCGGTGAGCGTGAAACTCCTGGCTGTCCACCATGATGACCACGTCGCACAGAGTCCCAGCCAGACGCATCTGGTTGGCCTTCTGCAGCAGGGCAGTGGGGTGGTTGGGGTTCTGAAGCTGGATCATACCCATTTTAGTTAAATCCATTATGTCGATGCAATCCACGAGGCCGACTCATGAGGCTCGCCTTCCCCGCTCAGCAGTGTTTTTAGCTATCTTTGTAAACAAGATGAAACCTGTGTGGAGAAAAGAAGAAGAAGAAGAAAAAAATCACAGAATGAAAGAAAATCACCTCTGGTAAATTTCTGATGCAACAGCTGAAAAAAATATATTTATCTTTACACATGCAAATCCAACAAGTGCAGTAGTGTTTTGTAGAAAAATCGATTGAATGGATGAATAGATGCTCTTTTATCAGGAAATGCAAAACAAAGGTGCCTTTTATTTTCTTTCACATAAGTACACGGGGCCTCTCTATAAATTGCATTTTGAAATCAAATGTAATTAATTTGCCAACAAATGTATTTAAATGATATCGCTATTTATTCTGTAAATGGCAAGTGTGAAGCCAGCGGAGCCCCAAATTGCAAATATCCTGCAGGGATGGTAAACACTCTGTGCAGTGGCATTGTTCTTTAAATCAGCGGAGAGTATTGCCTGTAGATTTCTGAAGGGAGACAATTTGTGAGCCGTCCAACGGGCTCATCCTGCATACCAATCAGTCCGACATATGTTATGTTAAAAAGATGTCTTCATTTGGTTATCTGATGGGGATGTACACCAGTTAAACAAGTGTGAATTGTGGGTTTTTCACTGCTGCTTGGCTCACAAAGACCGTCAGCAGCCTTTTCTGAAATTAAATAGCATCTTACTCAGTATTCTCATCACAGACGGGAGCAGAGAGCAGCGGCCAGAAATGGGTGGAAAGGAAAGCAGGATGAGGCAAAAAGCACACAACACTGCCGCAACCAAACTCCCCTCTGCTGCTCAGTCACCAATGTTGAAAATCCCAAATGAATGATTGCCTTTGTGGCCGCAGTTAACTTCAGATTAACAGGGCAACGTGTTGCTCCACCTCGAATCTGCAGCTCGCTTTGACCTACACTGAAATAATCAAGAGAAGGCTGGAATGAAATGCACTTTAAATGAACGGCCACGTCTGTCACGTCTCTCATTCAAGCTCGACACGAAAATATGCAGCTTGTCCATTATTCCGGCTAAATAAACTGCTTTCCCGCTACATATACTCTAAATAAATGAAAGAATGAATGAATGACTAGCAGCCAAGTACCTCCATTGACCCACATCCTGGATGAGCTCATTGATGGCCCCTTTTTATCCACTCAATCTATCAGGTTTCTGACAAATGACAAAATCTGACAGCTCAATTACTTCTATTCACCTTGATCTATGTTCTGCTGGGAATTTTTTTATTTTTTTTTTTTTGATTTTTCAGTCTTCAGTTTCATTTTCAAATTGCATGTTGGTTTAAAAAAAAAAAGGAATTAAAAAGAGAAGTTGGGCACTTCTTTCCCTTTCCCCTCCACGCTTGAATAATTACGCACAAAAAAAAATAAGAGACAACACCACATTTCCAACTTCTTTTTTTTTCTTTAAAAAAGAATAATTATGCCCACATATGCAAGCTCACCTCTGAAACCTACACTCACACGAGGCTAAATATGCAGAAGGTAAAAGAAAAAAAAAAAGATGCTGGCACCTATTGTTTGCGGTGAGAAAATAAGCCAGCGCTGGATGGGGTTTGTCTTTTTCTGCACATTGACAACAATTGATAGAGAAGGCAGATCAGGTTCTCGGTCAACGGGGATCGTGCCTTAAAAAAAAACGACATTATCTTTATTGCAGGTGTGCCAAAAGCTCCGATTTATGGGCCCCGTAAATGATCAATGCTTGTTGCGCTCTGTGGGTTATCAACCGAGCAGCGAGCTTCACCGGGACGCGATGTAAAGTTGCTGTTTGGGGGGACTTTTGTCTGCTCTCTATTAATAAAAAAGAAAAAAAAAAAAAAGGAAAGGACAGGGCGCTGCGTGCGTCTAGACAGCGTTAATATCGGCCAGCCGCACCAGACAAATTATCCACAGCGTTATGCATTATGCAAAACATCACGCACTACATTAAGTACATTAAGCCGGAGGAGATTTTCCTCCTGAGGACAATATAGATCGCTGACAATAACCACATTAGGGCCGACTTCACAGAGAGGCAGCATAATCAATCTGATCACGAGTTGTCTGCCATTGCGCGCCTTGACGAGCCAGCCACAACAAGAATAAACAGCGTTCAATATTCCACACCATGAGCCACACTGACAGACGCAAAACGTGGAGAGAGCAAAATGGTACAGCGTCTCCAAGGAGGGAGAGGTTGGTTGGTTGGTTGGTTGGTCTGTGGAGGGGGGGTGATATATAAAAGTATATACACGAGACAAGAGCCGATTCGAGCCACGCACAGGTGGACTTTGTTTGAGAAAGGATGAAATACTCCAACAGTGGATTGTAACAGTTTAAGGAGGGAGGTGTGATCTGGTGGGGAAGGAAAGAGCTGCGCTAAAGGCTTTCTGGGGTTTTTTTTTTCAAAAAGGAGAAATAAAAAAAAGAGTGAAAGGGAGGAAGAGAGAGATCAGACAGAGCCGATAACAAATCAATTTGCATCTGTTACCAGTTCCTCACCTCACAGTGTGCCGCGCGTGCAAGCTGATTATTGGTAACCAATCAAACATGCAGCTGTCTGTCAATCAATCGGAGCCTGACTGTACGCTGACTGGCTTTGGATTTTCTGTTTTTTCTTTTTTTTTTTTTGGAGGGGGCTTGTTTCGTGTTTTAAAAAGAAAAAAAAAGACCAGTGTCTCCAGTTCTCACCGTGATGTCATCACGGCTAAATAAGCCACACTGGTGCGTCTGGAGACACAAGGACGGGCAAGAGTGTCGCTGTCTAAATCAAAAAATTGCGTAATTTCCATCCAAACGAAGCGATTTCCCCCGGTAAAGTCGCACGCAGCGAGGCGTCATATGTTGTCTGGCTCCCGGTGAAACAGCCAGACCTCACGTCCTCTGACTGCGATCTCCAGAATACTAACCAGACCGACAGAGAGAGAGAGAGAGAGAGAGAGGGAGAGAGAGAGATGAAGGGGGTGGAGGGGGGGGTTACGTCAACCTTAACATCTCTACAATAGGCTACCTTGCGTTAATGCAAACTTCAACACCTTGCAGCGCAATCAGGTAAACACTTGTTTTCATCCACAAACTCCGGTGCGCAGATTCCAACTTGCGTGCCAAAGTCGCTGTTCGCTGTTAACTTCAGCATGAGGTTGAACGGGGACAAGCCAAACGCGATCCTCAGCTGCTATTAAAACGCATCAAACATCCGTATGGTGAATGAAAGTACACAGAGAAAACAGTGGCATGCAGAGTAGCGGGTCTGGCACTTGTCGCCGGGAAACTGCAGCCGCGTTTAGCCCGGATCGGTACTCACCTAAGTTGCACGTTTTGATTCCGTATAGTGTAGGGGGGATTGGGGCTACAGCATAGTAAGGCAGTTCGCAGTACCCGCTCTCTCAACACGCACTAACTCCTTTCTTCTCTCGCCTTAGCAAATCAACACGGCGCTGACGTCAACGCAGCCAGTCAGCCAGACGAGCAGCAGGCAGGCGGGCAGCCGGCGCTGCGCTCCAGCCCATACAAACACTGAGAAAGTGAGACACCTAGGGGGCTGTCTCGTATCAAACGGCTGTGTTACAGTATGGCGAGTGAAAGGTGAGCGACACTGCCCTCCCTCCAGCTGCATGGACGCACATACAGCCCACAGTGGAGCTCCAACTCCTCGCAGAGGCTCACTGGAGGCTTTGGAGGCTTTATGGGAAAGAATGGGGACTCCAGGAACCCTCTCCCTGCAACAGCTTTCACTCAGTCCATCCCTGTTTCTACAGATTAAGCTTCAGTGGTTGCAGAGACATGCGCAGATATGAATGCAAAGTTAGCAGGAGTGAGCAATGAAGCAGATTCAGAACACTTTCTGAAAAAGGTCATTTAGAATATACATATACGTTGCTTTCTCGTGGAAGCCAGAGCTCGGATTTGCATTTTATTTTGACACACTAGCCATGATTATAAACCAAAGCAACCCTTTGCGTGTTTATTTCTGGAGGCAGGTGCACTGGAGAGGGACGAGCGTATCCAGAAGTCATTGTGCGGGATTGAACGTTTTGCATATTGACACACTCGTCAACAAGCCATGACACAAAATGTGCACGCAAACTAAGCGAAGTCTCTCTCAGAAATACACGAAGCCGTCTCCCTGCCTGTTTTAGATTACGGTGACGTCCTCTGTCTCCACTGTGCGGCCCTCCATTCACTTCTACACTCAGCTCTGAGGTTCATCACTTGTGACAGCTGGCTGGTCAACTCTGGCAGGAAGACTGTGATTTCTTTTTATTCATAAGGAACTGAAGATGCCGTCGTACGTAACTCCTCTTTTGAGTCATTTCTCAACTTATTCAAGCAACTGGCTAATGTTGGCGCCGCTTGCTTACTCTGAGTTCTGTCAGCCTGCTCACACCCGCAGTAACGCTGAACACAACTGTGCTCGTAGATTCATTTAAAACCAGGATTACAAGCTGCCGCGATCCGTTGTTTGTCTTCTCGCCGTATTTATTCTGCTTTTGATTGATCTTGAAACAGTTGAAAATGAGGTGATGCCCTCAATGATTCCTTAAAATAATAAATTGCATAATTGGTTGCACATTTTGAATATTTAAAAACAGGTCGAGTGAATCTGACGGATGCACCGTTCGGCCTTTTGAGCTGTTTTTTTTCACACCGATTTTTTAATTCTTAACAGGTTAAAAAATATTTTAGGTCCCTTGATGTTCCATAAACAACGCACAGATACTTAACTTGTGATTTTATTTTATGCTTGTTGTTGTGTTTTTATACTCACACCCTCTGTATTGCTTCTCAGCCTTGAAACTATTATTTAAACCAACTGTTTCTTTCTCATTTGAAACCACCACACTGCTGCTATCATTTATGCATTTTTGCTTTAGCATATCGAAGAAATCATGGACAGCAGATTATATGTAGCCAACCTTTTGCAGATTATCGAAGAATTGCATCATTAAAATATGAGATCGTGATGTTAAACGAGACTAAATTTTAGAATCATAAGTTGAATCTGGCATCAAGCGTCCACAGCAACAAAAAAATGGTCATGCAACGGACAGGTAGCGCAGCCAGAAACTTTAAAAGATGTCAACCATACATGACAAGAACATGGGCATGGGACAATTCTGCATCCAGTTTCGTTTAACTTATCGGGATTCAGTAGCAGCAACCTCAGGTCAACTTTTATTTTGAAAAACAAGTGAGCCTCACAGTGCCAGCCTATAACATGGAAACATCAGTATCCTAACAAGCTTTCATTGTGCACAACACACCACATTTTATCCTAATTCCATCTGATTTCAAGAATTTTCAAATCAAACGTCACTTCCTTGACTTTATTGAGCTGTTGTTTTCTAAATACATGAAACAAACGATCCGGCGCTGGGAACCACGTGCCGGTTAATTTCTTGTTTTATTTTTTAAAAAAAGAACCTAAATGATGGGTGTAGTGAGCGACTTTCAGCCAGATGGTTTTTGCAGTGCATTACCAGCCCGTGATTGCTCTAATTCTCCACTTGCTTTTCTCTGTTGACCGATAACCGGGCATGCAGCCCACGTTGCACCTCATAATCGTTTGGCCTGATAAAACTCCCGGAATCTTTTATAGTAAAAGCATACTTTAGAGCTTCTCTCCATGTAAACCTGATTGATGCTTTCGCCTTAATGACGGCCGCTGACTGGAGGCCATCTTTTACCCGCCGTTTTATTTCGCTATATTTTCATTCTGCCGCCATGTTGCCTTTAAGTGCTCTTTGTGAGCTCTTACTTTCCCAAAATCACGGATATAAATTGTCCAACATTTAGACGGACGAGGAGAATATGGGCGCGACGTGTATGTAAATCGATACGGCGGTTCTTTATGAAACAGACGCTCAGGCTCCACAGATTTGATTAGATTTCATAATCATCTGACTTTTGCTTCGGTGCCACAAACAGGGGAAAGTTTCAGGTAACAACTTTATGCTTCGTAGCTTCGGTTGCTCCTTTTAGTTGTGAATTATGAATTATTTGGCAAAATTTCTCGTAAATATTTAACATTAGATACGATAAAATACATGCATTTTGGTCAATGGTTTGGCTGCACATTAAAAAACATGATGCAGTGACTGAGATTTAAAACCCAGCAGGTTGAAACAGAACCGACTGAGCTCTTTAAAAGAGGAGCTTTGCAAAGCGGTGCAGATAAAAAAAACCCCAAAAACATTGACAGCATAACTGCAGAAAGGCCAAGAAGCTCGGAGGGGGGAACCTCGTCATCCAGGATGATGAGTTTAGTCACCTTCGCGCCTCGGGCTCACATCAACACTCCGCTGACTGAGGCTGATAAAATGGAAGCAACGGACGAGTCGGGTCAGAGCAGACTTTCTAAAGGAAGACCGGGGTCACTCGGTGTCTGCAACACATCACTCGGCGCGTTCTATCACTCAGCGGCTGACAGCACCCTTGGGTGGTTTCGCCGACGGAGGAAATATTATCATCGCTATTTACAAATGGCAATAGGCGTCTCGTAAAGTTTGATTCACCGCGTTCGTCGGCGCGCCGGAGATGATGAATTTGGCTTTTTGACTGTCGTTCAAACGCAACCAGCTGATACGTCAAAACTCCTCGTGCAAACCTCCGAGGCAGCTGTTGACTTCTTGCTCTCGCGCCGGTCCTCCAGGCTGAAGTCATTCTTTGTTTTGAGCTCCAGGCCGGTCCTGTGGTGAGTTTTGTTTTCCAGTGACATAAGTGACTCAGTTAGAGTCACCATCACGGGTCGACTGTGGGACTGAAGAGGGAGCAGAAGGCTGTAGAAGGACTGATTTTGTACCGCTGTCGAAATCTGGTCGACGGCTAACGTGTGAAAGGTAGTTTTGAAAGTATTTGCCCCAAAAAACACCATTTATTCCAGCAAAGACGTCTTTTAATTTGCTCCCACTTTAACGTTTTATATCCATGTTTGCCGTTTAAAGTCTCCATCTTGAAGACCAGGGCTTTGACGGCTGCTGGTGTGTTTTTGAACCTAACGTCCCAGATATCCATCCGTTGGCTCCCGTGACACGCCATCAGTCAGTTGGCAGCTCGGCCGGACGTCCATAACAACTCACGGTCGCCATAAATACAAGCTAAATGGGAGGAAAAACCATCTTCGGGTGAGTCGAAGAGCAAAATCTGTCACGTTAAACCCTCTCTGGCAGAAAATAAACACCTGGATGACGGACCACACGTCGCTAAACGCCGTCCAGATTGCCTCGTTAGCTCTTCCCCCAACACCAAAACCAAAAACACCTCCTCGCCAAAAATTGCTGCAATTGCCGAAAACCGCCGCCTCGCCATTCATTTTAATTTTTTTTTTACAAAAACAGCAACAGGTCTTGCACCGGGTCGTAAGCAGTCGCACAGTTTATAGCTGTTTCGAAATGGAAAGCATAGGTTTGAAGGGGGGCTTTCAGCGAAATCTCATTTCCTTTAAAATACAGTGGTGCTTTGGGAATTTTTAGATTCATCCAGGCACGGATCACAGAGTGCTTCATTACCTCTGAGCTGCGTGCTGTGCAGGCTTACCCGGGGATAAAGAAAAAGGCACTCCCTTAATCTGGCAATAATCCACCGTTTTACTGAAGGAAAGGAAGATGAGGGCTAAATTATAAAAACCAGATCATCGCTGCACTTTAAAATAATACCAAGAGTTAGAGAAAGATGGGCTGCCTGGAGGAAGTTTGGGCAGGAAATGGGACCATTAGCTGTCAGTGAGTTAATAGGAGCTGCTGCGTGATTCAGAGGTTTTCTACAGTGGTGGGATGCATGCGTTCCCACCGCGTTCCCACAGCTTTGACTGTGTTTTTTTTTAATGCGTGTAGAAAGAAAGAATAAACTGCAAAAAAAAAAAAAGGCCAGTATGAACTCACAGTGTTCCATTTAAAACAAACAAGAATAATTAGTACATGTGGAAAAATATGAATATGTGTTCGTTAATGGCATTCTGTCTGGAAACAATGGGTGAAGTTTTGCTCACAACAAGTGTCCTCTCATTACCTTTTTTATGCTAATGAGCTGTTTTCTTACCCGAAGCGTTCTCAGGAATGTGATAAAGTCTGTTTGTTTTTTTTTATCGTCAAAATAATTAGAGGAATCGTCAAAGTAAATCATGTCACAGATTTATCCAGACAAAGACCTGGAAACAAAGCTTAAATGTGCAGGCTGGTGCTTTCTGATTTCATTAATTGATGTACAATTTTAAAATTACTCCTCTCGTGAAAGTAAAGGACAAAAGCCGATCCCGGGTTCGGGTTTCTGTCTGAGAACAAGAAAAGCACACACGATATTCGGTGTATATTCAAAATATTAAAACAGATTGGTGAGCCGGGTCGTCGCCCTGTTCGTCGTCACCGTAAACACAGGTGCTGTAGTTCATTCCAAGTCAGTCCCACATGCACCATCCTGCAGTTAGTCTGTGGCTCATTTTGACTGACTGTGGGCTCATTTTCACTACAACACTCACACCTCCATGGAAACAGCACAACAATGGCTGCATACAGAAGCAACACGTTTTTTTCACGTTGCTTCTATATATAATATTTATCTACCTACATTTTTAATCTGTTTCCACCCTGGTCTCCTACCTGCTCCGTGTGAGCACGGCCTGCAGATCAGCCGAAAAGTCATGAATTTTTATCACGTTGATCACAGCTGAGTCGGTTTTAGCTTCACAGGATTAGTTGTTTTTACAGAATCTAGTTAGAGCACATGCACAATATAAAAATGCGTGTTTAACTAGTACGTGCAACTGCAGACATACGTAAAGAGCAGGTTTAAAGAGACGCAGAGCTGTAGTGCTAAATTAT